TTCTATTTCTAATAAACTTAGGTTTAAAAGTTGCTAAGCTGTTTTGATTACTCAGTGGCTGACCTTGAGGCAGCTTATTGGTAAGAGGATAAAATGGAAAATTAATCTCCACATATGCAGAGCTGCTATTTAAACATTTTAGGAATTACTTCTTGTTTATAATGCCATTTGCCAACGTTCTTTGGGAGTAAAAGGATAGAAGTACCCAACTTCTGCTCATCCCAGCTCCCTTCTTTGTATTTTAATACTCCCCCACTCTCTTAACTATTCATTATCTCTGTCTTACTTTTTAAACAAAAACTAAAGTCCATGCTTTATTTAGATTTCCTCAGTTTTTACCCAGTGTCCTTTTTCTGTCCCAGGATCCCATCCAGGAGATCACATTGCATTTAGTCACCATGTCGCCTTAGACTCCTCTTGCTGTGACGGTTCCTCAGACTTCCCTTGTTTTTTGTGACCTTGATAGTTTGGAGCAGGACTGGTCAGGTAATTTTGTAGAATGTCCCTCAGTTGGGATTTGTCTGTTTTCCCTGTGGTTAGGCTGGGGTGTGATGTGTTTCTGGGATAACGTGCTGTTCTGTCACATCAAGGGGACGTACTATCCATATGACTTATCACTGTTGATGTTGCCCTTCGTCACCTGGCTCAGATAGTGTTGGTGAGGCCTTTCCACTATGGAGTTACTCTTTTCTCTCCCCTTTCCGTACCGTCGTCTTTGGAGGAGAGTCACTTAAGGAGTGGGATTATTCTTCGCCTCCGTAAGGGTAGGGCATCTACCTAAATTATTTGGAGTTCTGCACAGATTTGTTTGCCTTTCCCCATTTATTCAATCATTTGTATCAGTACGGACTCATGGATGTTTATTTTATATTTCAGGTTACAACCCAGTATTGCTTTATTTGTTGCTTGTGTTGTAACAGCTTCAGCCGTTGGGAACTCTTTCAGTTCACCTCTGTCCCTCTGACATGCTCCTCTCAATGCAGTTTGTTTCCTTTCTTTTTGTCTTGTTTTGGAGCACTTCCTTAATTTCTGGCACTACAGAATGCTCCAGGCTCATTTTGTGCATTTCCTGACCAGTGCTGGAATTGGCCATTTCTTCAAGGAGCGCTGGTCTCTTTTTCTAGTGGAGAGCAGTGTTAGAAACCCAGGTCTCGGTGCTGGCTGTCCTCACTTTTGGTCTTTGCCAGGCATCTGCCCCAGTGCTGGGTTCACCTCACATGACTTATTTCTTCATTTTCCTGTCAAATCTTTTCATATGGTTGCCCAGATCTGTTTTTTGTAAATTAATTAATCAATTTAAAAATTTTTGGCTGCGTTGGGTCTTCGTTGCTGCGTGCAGGCTTTCTCTAGTTGTGGCGAGCAGGGACTACTCTTCGTTGCGGTGCGTGGGCTTCTCGTTGTGGTGGCTTCTTTTGTCGTGGAGCACAGGCTCTAGGTGCGCGGGCTTCAGTAGTTGTGGCACACGGGCTCAGTAGTTGTGGCTCACGGGCTCTAGAGCGCAGGCTTAGTATTTGTGGCCATGGGCTTAGTTGCTCTGCTGCATGTGGGATCTTCCTGGACCAGGGCTCGAACCCATGCCGCCTGCATTGGCAGGCAGATTCTTAATCACTGCACCACCAAGGAAGTCCCCAGATCTGGTTTTTATAGCTGTCAGAATTTTAGCCTAGATCAATACAAAATTATTCCTTGGATGGGCAATCAAGCTGCTTTTATATATTTTAAAAACGTGTTTTGTGTTCTAGTATCAACACTACATAGGAATCTGGCTACAAATTTAGATTGCATTTGGGTGGGTGATATTTTTGGTCTGTGATTTGTCTTTTAATACAGTTTTTACAAGAATTTTACAGATTCATGAACCTTAGGGAGATAGTTAAAAACCTATTAAAATTAAATTTTGTGCATTTGGTTTTATCAAGGCAAAATAAGCAGCTGAAATAAAACGGACCTGGGAGTTAGAGGTTTGCATTTATCATTCCCCAATTTAAGGTGCAGCTTAGATGGTAGAGAATGCCAAGGGTAGCAGTATAGTTAAATGAAGGAGATTAATTAAAGTGTAGGCAACTGGAATGATATAAAATTCACATCTTCCGGATGTAATTTCTTCTCTGTATTTGTCTTTCCTGGGAAACCCTGCCTGAGAACCTTCTGAGCATGTGTCTTGCTATTGAGTGTGAGGGGGGACTGTAAGCTGAAGTGAATATTCTTCTTTACTCCTTGTCTCAAAACAGAGATACACATTTTCTTTTCTGTTCCCCACATCACATTAATTATTAATCAGTTGTTTTTTTTTTTTTTTTTTTTTTTTTTTTGCCGTAAGCGGGCCTCTCACTGTTGCGGCCTCTCCCGCTGTGGAGCACAGGCTCAGCGGCCGTGGCTCACGGGCCTAGCCGCTCCGCGGCATGTGGGATCCTCCGTGACCGGGGCACGAACCCGTGTCCCCTGCATCGGCAGGCGGACTTTCAACCACTGTGCCACCAGGGAAGCCCTATTAATCAGTTTTTTATTTTATTTTATTTTACTAACTGAGACTCAAAACTTAGAGCTTGATAAAATTCTTGTATCTCCTGTGGGGAAAACTTACTCGTGCGGGTCCTGAGGATTTGGAGAAGGCAGGTCTCACCCCCGGCCTTCCCTGCATCTGGAGGACAGTACGTCTTCTGCAGGGCACCGAGCAGCCAGAATCCTTTCAGCTGTGGCTGCCGAGCTTGCTCCCGCTGCTCGTGGGAAGCTTTGCCCACCATGGAGTTGCTAGTCCATAGTTCTGCTGTCCTTTGGGCGCTGCGGAGCTCAAGTGAGGGCGGTGCCCCACGCCTCTGGTCTGAGCATCTCTTTGTCCACCCCCCTGGTTCTGACCTGCTGGGTCATTTGCACCTCAGCCTCTAATTCTGATCCCGACTGAGGCTCACGCCTCAGCCTGTGGGTTCTGTGCTGGACAGGGTGAGCCCCTGACCTTTGACCCCTAGCCCCTCGTTACCAGCCCCCCTGCTGAGAGTGCTGCCCACTTAGCTCCTTTCTTTTCTTGCTCAGATCCAGACGCTGACGAGGAACCTGTCAGCCACACGGGTCTCCTGGCTGTGGTTGCAGGTCTCTGGTCTGGTTGTGGGATGAAAAGAGTAGGAACATGCCTTGAAAATGTCTGACCACCTGCCCTCCGTGTTTGAATGTTATGCTCTCTGTGCTTTTTGTGTAGTGTATTTGATCATGACAAAGTTCCCTCTAGATATCTAAATAGCACAGCCCTGGGGTTGGGTGTATGCTGTTATCTCCATTTTTAGGTGGAAAACTTTCCAACACAAAGAAGCCAGAGAGAACACAGGGAATGTTAGTGCTGGGAGGGACATTGGGCCTCACACCCGCTGTCTGTGTGTTGTCGCTGGGACATTAAAGCTCATTCTCTTCAGCAGGGTTTGTCCATAGAAACTAGTTTATTTTAGGCAACTGTATGGATGGGTTTTTGTATGCTCTTATTAAGTGACAAGAACGTAGGTCGGTAAGTGATTTCATGGAGCTGCAGAGAGAAGTAAATAGGAAATTCATCATCTCCCTCCATGCATTCATTCATCAGTCACAGAACAAATATTTCTTTTACAGCTAGTAAGCAAACCGTATTAGGAAAAGTTTAAACTTTCTAGTAACGTAGAAGTTGTATAAGAAGTCATCATTGTGTGTCATAAATATTTATAAAGTTGGGGGCAGGGTGGGCTTAAAGTAACTCTAATGCATGGTGGCAGCAACAGAATTGGTGCAGCCATCTGGGAAATCATTCTGGCATTTGTGTTCACAGATCAGAAAAAACGACCTATGGTTAGATCAAAATTTGGGAACTATAGCATCCCTCTTTTTGGAGACTTACAATATTTGTTGCGTAATAGAGGCTGTCCTGCAGAAAGAAATCTGTTCAGCGTAGAAAAATTCAGCATTTACTCTATGTATTTCAGTGCTGCGTTTGTGAAAAGCCTAGTAAGGTCCTTCAAAACTGGGGTCTGTGTTTCGCAGTGTGTGAAGTGCAGCACGTGAAGGGCTTTTACTGTTTTCCTAGTGGAGGTGAGTGTCATGGACAACGTGGATAGGACTTGGACGGGGGACAGGTTGGGAGGGAAGATGAAGGAGGGCTTTAGTGTAAGTTTGACCTCCTCTTGGGAGAGTCAAGCGGCATATAAAGTTGGCAATTGGAAAGGTGGCTCTGAAGGCAGAATTAGGGCTGTAGGTAGAAATGTGTGAGCTCTGTGAATATATGGGATTGTTGTGACCACAGGGGTGGCCGAGGCTGCCTTTGGACAAAGGTAGGTGACAGAGTCTGACGGGACCCAGGAGGGGAAGAGCCAGGGAGGGAGTCAGGGGAAACCCGAGGGGCTTCTAGCAGTGCTTGCAGGGTCCACGAGAGGACAAGATGGCTGGAAAATGAAATTCTGCTGAAAGGCAGTGGCAGTAAGAAAGGACACAGGCAACAAGGACCAGCACAAGGCAACAAAGAATGGGAATGGACCGTTTTTGGAGTGTTTTCTAGCTGTGAGGCACGCGCTTTATTTCATTTAGTAACTATACACTATTAAATGAACGCATGCATTTTCATTTAACTTTTATTTTGGAATAATTTTAGCTTCTAGAAAAATTGCAAAAATAATACAAAGAATTTCCAGGTGCCCTTTACCCAATTTTCCCTAGCCACCTTGTATAATTATAACATATTAATCAAAACTAAAAAATTATCATTGGTATAATGCTAACTAGACCATAGACTTTAGTCAAATTTCAGCAGTTTTCAACTAAGTGGAGGACACTATTTGTGTACAGTTCCCTTTCTCTGTAACCTTACAGTATACAGTCAAGGTTTTGTTTTCCAAAGTTACTTGGGTGGGTTCTTTTCCTCCGTACGGTCTCTTCAGCATGGGTGTTACGTCATTTGCTTGTGATATAGTTAGCTCTTTGGTACACTTGGTCTCTTATTTTGGGCCTCTCCTCATTCCTGATTGCTTTTATTTTTTGTTTACACACAGTAAAACTCTCTGGGTCTTGACAAAGACATAGACGTGTGTATCCAGCCCCACAGTTGTGGTACAGAACAGTTCTGTCACCTCCACGTTTCCCCCTACAGCCTGGATCTTAACGGTGGTTTCAGGCGAGTGGGTAGCAAAGGGGTGGGGAAGGAGCTGGGCGGTGTAGGATCTCCCCGACGACTGAGAACTTGACTGTGAGGGCAGCGTGCCCATGGACAGAGCACAAGGGTAGGGTCTCCAGGTTGAGGCTGGGGGACGTCTCTTTAGCCAGTAGGTAGAGGTAATAGGAGTGGCCAAAAGCCCCGGAGCGGGGCAGCAACCTCCCAGTGAGGACCAGCTGGGAAAGGCCAGCTGTGCGGACCAGGCAGGGTCTGAAGGGGCAGGCGGACCGTGGGGAGGGGTCCTGCCTGTTGTCTTCGCAGCTGACTGTGGAAAGAAGGAGGTGTGGAGTAGGTACCAGGGGAAGGTTGGAAAACAGCCTCTGTCCCCTGGCAGGGTGGGAGTTAAGGAGAAGGAAAAGAGAGGGTGGTGGGGCAGAGTGACACAGAGGACGGCCTGGGGCACGAGGAGCGGGGATTTGCTGCAGTCCTCTCTGGAGGTACCCTTGACAGCTGCAGAACCATGTGGAAAACGCAAAGGAGCTTTTTACTGCAGAGCTTTCGTTTGACCTGTGAGTGCTTGGAGTTGGGGGGAGTGATGCGAGGAGTAGGCCAAGAACTGCGAGTCAAGCTTCTGGAAGAGGCTGAGGTTTGTAGGGACCATTTGCTTCTGTTCCTGTGGGAGGAAGGGTGGGTGGAGGAGGGAAGGGGAGGCGCTCGTCGGTGTAGCCTTGAGGGAAAAGTGAAGGATAACCCGCAGGGAGGGGCAGGGGCTGGATATATTCTTGTCTTTCCCAAGGTTGTGCCCTGATGCAGTGCCTCTGTGTTTATGTTTCCAGAAGCAGTTTGAACTTTCACATCGGTGGTTTTTCAAGTCAGGAATATTAGGTATTAACTGAAGAAGAAAACACGGCCTTGGCCAGAGTATCTGTATGTCAATATTGATACCATCAGGATTCAGTGAAACAAGAAGATATCTATTCTGGACGATAGCAGCTGCCTTTACTAATTTCTTATTAACTCATACAGAATTAAAACGTATATTCTTTCCTTTTCACCTTATGTGTAAACTGTCTTTTTACACGTGGGCAGCTAACCTGGTGGGGGCTGTTTAGAAAGTGAAGTTCTTCTGGCCTCAGCAGGTGGTGTGCAGGGAGTGGGGGGGACGCCCGCCAGTGCTGGAAGCTGAGAGGGGCTGGGCGCTCTGTGGTCCTGGGTCACACTTCTTCCCAGTGGCTGGAGAGGAGCCTCAGACCTACATGGTGCCCTGGCTTACCGTCCAGATCCACCCAGGGCCTGATGAATGTGGAGGATGGAGATAAAATAAACACTTCTCTCTGGCGTTTTGGCACTTGTATGGGGCCTTCAACTAGCATGTATTTAAGAGATTCCATAGCTCCATTTATTATTGCTTATTTTTTCCCTCAAAGCTATACGCGTGTAGCCATTCGTGTGTGTGTGTGTTTGTGTATTTTTTTTAGTTATTATTTTTTTGAGACCTAAGTGTCTGCCAGTTTTTGGGGCCCAGTCTCGTTGTCCATCCCCCACCCTTCCCTAGAGAGCAGCCCTGAGGCAGAGACATAGCCCATCAGGTGTTTTGTTTTGTTTCTGTTTTTTGTTTTAAACTCCACAAAACTGACATCATTTCCCAGCTGGTTTAGAAGAGCGAGCAAAGAAGCATGAAGCAGATTTGTGTAACTGAACCTGCTGTTGGGGATGGAATTGCAGTGAGAAAATATTTTTCCCTGATAAGCAATTCAGATTGAAGTGAGGGAGAAGGAAATGGTCAGTTGGGGAAAAAGAGATGTGATGTCTTTTTCTCTTTTGTGGTTGAAGAGATGTCATGATGGAGGGCGTTGAAAATGCTAAAGGTGAAAAGGGATTGGTGAAGAAGGAAGAGCCCAAGGGTGTGTGTGTACTAGTATGAGGGGAAAGGCAGGGATTGGGAGGTAGAGGCCAGGAGAAACCAACCCCCTGCTTATTTCTTTGAAGACATGAAACCTGAGGGTGCTAAGTCATTTTCTGTGAGCAGCAAACTAAATGTGAAGCATTGCATAATATCAACACACATAAGAACATTGCATAGTTGAAGAAATGAAGGTTAGAAATGTGAGTTAGATTCATTAATCTGTTGAATTACTTCTTCGAAAAGGGCTTCAGTGGCCAGATAAGTGCCAGAAAACAGTGACAAATACAGTCCCCCAGAAGGATAACAGACCTTGGATTATCATAGTTGTTCTTTGAAAAGTTTGTGTAATGCTGTTGAGGCGATCTGTAGACTTGGATTTGTTTTTCTTTAGGATTATTATGACTTAGCGTTTATTGATTTTCATTAAAGAAAATGTTAGTTTCTCCATTTACATGGGGAAGCCGATGTGTTGTCACCGGTCACATTGACCTTTGCGTATTCATTTTGCAGGCGTGTATCTGGGGATTATTTGCAGTTGGGTTCAGTGGTTACTTTATGACTGGGAGCTTCTGTGCCATCATCCTCTAGTTGGAAATTGACAAGTGCCTTCATGAAGAACAGATTCTTATTGCAAAGTGTAAGAAGTATGATTAAGGGGTGAATGGGTTTTTCGTAAGTTTTTCTTTTGATTTGATAACTTTTGACTTTTACCAACAAAGATGAAATAGCTTACTATAATTTTAAGAGACTTTGGTAGGAAAGGAAGTGTTTTGTCTGTGTCATAGGAGGGAATAGAGTGACCATGTGACAGACTTGAGTTCTTTGATTTTCTTTTTTTATAAACAGGCCTAGCATTCCCCCCCCCCCCCCCCAGACATTTTCAAGGTGAAAGGACTTTTATACATCAAGCACAAATGCTGTTAGTGAATTATACGTTATTTATAGGGGGTTTAGTTTAAATTAAAAGACTGTTAGTGCCTTTGAAGGAAGCTGTATTTTACAGGGTTTAAATGAGATGAAAGACATTGTTGCAATAACTAAAACTAATTCTGTTTGAAAGTCAAGCTGTTGAGGGAAAGGGAAGCTAAAATGAGATCTTTTTATCTTATCTTTTAAACGAGAAGACCGAGATTTATCTTTGTAATGTTTTTAAGCAGAAGAATCTATTTTTAAAACAGTACTTAGGAATTGGGGTGAGCAAAAGTAAAGAAGACTTTCAAACATAAACGTTTCTCTCTGTACTTGATAGAGCGGAGAAGTGAAGCAGGAGTTCAGCATTTTCCCCCCAAGTGGTAAATTCACTCTTGCCTTCCAGAATGTGGGAAGGGTGAGGGTAGTAATAGGACGGTGTGATTGTGGGCATGACAAACATTTCTATAAACCAAAAAAGAAGTGTGAAGTTACAGACAGCGGTGTTTATTACATTGATTATACAGCCCGGGAGAGGTGAACTCACCGCCACTATGGTCTTGGGTTTCAGACAATGCGATGTGCTTTCAGCAGCCGCTGCACTTGGCCTGTTATGCCCGCTGTGCATTTTCACCTTATTCTTTCAGGTGAACTAGGAGAGCTGACTCACATGTTTTTAAACTGCTGCTAATTCACTCTTACCTCTCCACAGTGTCCCAGTACTTCACCCCAAAGAGTTCATCTGGGTTTATCTTCTTCCCTAAAGAGAAAGTGTATACATCTTAGGCGTTAGGAGGAGGGGGGGGTGGGGGCAGGTATGCCTAGATGTCCACAGAAAAAGTTGTTCCTGCATCAGGAATGTCTTCTGGACTCCTTGGGGGGCTTGCAGATGTGGAAGTTCCTCTCTGGGGTTTTCTAAGCCTTCACTCTGCTTTATTTATGCAGATAGGAAAAGATAACGGCAGTGTGGTGGGCGACATCCTACCATTGACGATAAGATTTAATGCTGCTGCTGTCGCCGCCATATGTGAGCACCTGTGTGTCCATAAAGCAGGCAGGTCCCTGTTGTGTGTAAACAGGAGGGAGATGGTACGAATCATGTATTAATCTTCCAAGTATTCATCAGAATGCCTGCCAGCTGCACTGCCAGTGTGAACTGCCAGTCGCTTAGCAAGTTGTGTTTCACGTGGTGACCCTTTTATCATTTCTTGTGGTTGTGTGTTCTGGGCCTCCCACCCACTGAGTATTTGAATTTTCTGTTATGTTCTTTTTGTTCCTGAACCGACTGCCCTCTAGGATGAATGGTGTGAAACTGGATGACGTCTTTTGCTCACCAAAATCATAAGGAGAGGGCAAATGACATAAATCCCATGTAGCTGTAAAGAAAGGGTTGAGGGATTTAGGCAGAGCCCAGCCACCACTGGGGACATCCAGAGGCTGGATCCCAGCTTTGGATAAGTGGTGGCATTAAAAAACCACCTTTCAGGCCCATTCGACTCCAGTGGGGTTTTGGGGGTGGTTCATGAGTCTATGTTTTGAATTCTCTAAAAAGTGATCTACAAACTTGGATCATCATGACTGGTAAAGATAGATCATAGGGACGCTTCGCTCATGGTGGTTTTATTGTGAGTATTCAATTTATAAAGGCAGTATGATGCTTAAAAATAAAGCTGGTGAGGGACTTCCCTGGTGGCGCAGTGGTTAAGAATCCGCCTGCCAGTGCAGGGGACACAGGTTTGATCCCCGGTCTGGGAAGATCTCACTTGCCATGGAGCAACTAAGCCCGCGAGCCACAACTACTGAAGCCCGCGCGCCTAGAGCCCGTGCTCCGCAACAAGAGAAGCCACTGCAATGAGAAGCCCACACACTGCAACGAAGAGTAGCCCCCGCTCGCCGTAACTAGAGAAAGCCCACGCTCAGAAATGAAGACCCAGCGCAGTCAAAAATAAATAAATTAAATAAATAAATAACACAGTGACATTCAGGGATTATTCCTAAGTGGGTGGACTCTTAAGTGGGTATATTGTCTGACAGATGGATTTTTCATTGCCCACATTTTACAGTTCAGCTTCATTTAAAAAAGAAAATCATAATATCAAACTTTCTCGCTAGATTTGACTTCATATAGTTGTTTTCATGTCATCATATGCTTAGAAGTGTTGTACTTTGATGCCGGGGGTGCATTATTCCCTGTCTGGTCCTGCAGGCACCCATCTGGGAGAAAAGTGGCCCAGAGTGTTCTCTCTAGGCCAAGCAAACCATCTAGAGAAAAGTACATGTGACTTCTGAGACATAAGTGCATGGAAAGTGATTTATTCTTTTATTTATGATATTTTCTGTTGCTTTCTCTCTTTATTAATGCACTTCAAAAAAATTTATTTATTTTTGGCTGCTTTGGGTCTTCGTTGTTGCACTCAGGCTTTCTCTAGTTGTGAGTGGAGGCTACTCTTCATTGTGGTGCGCGGGCTTCTCATCGTGGTGGCTTCTCTTGTTGCGGAGCACGGGCTCTAGGCTCACGGGCTTCAGTAGTTGTGGCTAGCAGGCTCTAGAGCGCAGGCTCAGTAGTTGTGGCACACGGGCTTAGTTGCTCCGTGGCATGTGGGATCTTCCTGGACCAGGGCTTGAACCCGTGTCCCCTGCATTGGCAGGCGGATTCTTAACCACTGTGCCACCAGGGAAGCCCTGGAAAGTGATTTATTCTTCAGCTCCTATTGAACCATAAGTGTTTGTTTCATCTTCAACAGTAGTTTTTCCCAACGAAATTCTTTGAAGTATTTGGGTGTGTCCCAGAGTGGGTGAATATGCTGAGGGTGTCTTAGCAGCTGATGATGGATTTATGGTTAATGTGAATTTTCACGGGTATGTTTATTGTTGCCTGAGTAGAAATCCTACTGTGATCCTCTTATAGTTATTTTTATTAGGAATGCATGATTTTTTACAGATAGTACAAGAAAAAAATCATTAAATACTTTCGTAAAATATGAAAGACAACTTCTCAGTGATTTAAAGCAGACTTAAAGGAGGAATGATGTAGTAAATATTGACAAGGAAAGAGTCTAGGTGTCTACAAATCACTTAGGCCGATTCTTCCATTGAAAGTTGCCTAAGATCAGCTGTGATCCTTGTTTCTTCCGACATTGATTGTTTCTTGATTCCCCTCTCTTCTTCCCTTCTTCTCCTTTGCTTTCTTTCTCTCCCTCTCCTTCCCTTTCCAGTTTTTCATTCATCCTCTTCCCTTTCCTTCTCTTCCTGGCTGCTGGCCTCCATGGCAGAAGGAAGGAACAGGCCCAGAGAGATCCCCTTACTTCCTGAGGGTCTCAGAGGCAGTGAGTTGTCTGCAGAGCAGGGTCAAGGCCTGTTCTTATTGTAAGTCCTGTGTTGTGGTCCCTGACTTGTGTCCTGTTGGTTATTTGGCATTTATGGTGCAAAGGCAAGTGGGACATTGCCTGTCTTCAGGCAGCTGACCAGGCCAGTGGGTAAGAAGAGACAAGTACACACACACTTTAATACATACAGAGCATAATCGAATCATAAGATGGAGTGCTCTGGGGGTTCAGGGAGGAGGAAGAGCTCCCCTACAGTGGAAGGGCCCCTTGTAAAGACCCCAAGCAGTCTGTGTATGTATATATCCTTCATCTTTAGTATCGGCTGTGACTGTCCATTTTCCTAAAACTCTCCATCCTTCTACCATCCAGGGCTTCGTGCACATTAATGCAAGCACTTCTTCTTCTTTTTTTTTTTTTTGCGGTACGCGGGCCTCTCACTGTTGCAGCCTCTCCCGTTGCGGAGCACAGGCTCCGGACGCGCAGGCTCAGCGGCCATGGCTCACGGGCCCAGCCGCTCCGCGGCATGTGGGATCTTCCCGGACCGGGGCACGAATCCGTGTCCCCTGCATCGGCAGGCGGACTCTCAACCACTGCGCCACCAAGGAAGCCCCAATGAAAGCACTTCTTCATAGACTGTTGTCCACCCTGATCTAGCCTGGCTGCCAAAGAGAGGGCCTTCCTCCCCCGGGCTCTGTCACGTACTTGGGTCCATGTTGTCAACGTGCTGGGAGTAATTTCGTGGAAGGCCTTTCTCAGCTGCCACAGCCATTTGCGAGACTGTGTTGGCTGAGTATTGATTAGGAAACAGCTGTGCATTCCCTTAACTAGCGAAACCACTGGACTGGGGAGGGAGATGGAAGGGACACTGCACTTTTCTGCCTGGAGAGTGTTTTTTTTCCCTAACATAATGGAGGGAATTAAGATGAAGTAAAACGTGATGGAATGAGCTCCTGGGGGATTTTTGAAACTTTATCAGCAGTAGACGGCCTGTGCTGGGTTGGGATGCTCACTTCTGTGGATGAATTGAAATCTGTAATTGGGGTTTTGCCTGTAATCTATTGCTTTTCATGTGATACCCCAAATCTGACGGTGACTGTGTTAGCAATAGTTTTGCCAGTAGAATTAAATGCTGTCAAGATCAAGATATGTTTGGAAGTAGTTTTTTGTGAAAATGGTGAGGTGAATCCAATGATAAATAACATTTTCTAGTCATTAACACCAGAACCTGCTCTTCGTGCTATAATAGTTTTGATCAGCTTGTTAGAGAGGCTCCACGCTGGCAGTGCTGCACGGCCTTTTGGAGGAATTACTTCAAAGCTGTAATCGTCAGGGCTTTATACCTGTTTTCCAGATGCTTGTTCACTTTGGCTCAATGTCCTGACATTATAGTAAGTGCAGTTGGCAACTCGCTCTTTCATGATAATCATCACTGTTCGTGTAAGTCCCATAGGGGTGTTTATCTGCATGTTCATTGCTGATGGAATTATTTTCTGTTCGTTTAACAGAACATCTGATCAAATTCATGACCATGGGGGATATGAAGACCCCAGACTTTGATGACCTCCTGGCAGCATTTGACATCCCAGATATGGTCGATCCCAAAGCAGCTATTGAGTCTGGACACGACGACCAGGAAGGCCACATCAAGCAGAACGCCCACGTGGACGACGACTCCCACACGCCGTCCTCCTCCGACGTCGGCGTCAGTGTTATTGTGAAGAATGTGCGGAACATCGACTCCTCTGAGGGCGCAGAGAAGGACGGCCACAATCCCACCGGCAACGGCCTGCACAACGGGTTTCTCTCGGCGTCCTCTCTGGACACTTACAGTAAAGATGGATCGAAGTCCTTGAAAGGAGACGTGCCTACCTCAGAGGTGACTTTAAAAGACTCCGCTTTCAGCCAGTTCAGCCCCATCTCCAGTGCTGAAGAGTTTGACGACGATGAGAAGATAGAGGTGGACGACCCCCCGGACAAAGAGGACATGCGCTCCGGTTTCAGATCGAATGTGTTGACAGGGTCAGTTCCCCAGCAGGACTATGACAAACTGAAGGCACTCGGGGGAGAAGGCTTAAGCAAAACTGGCATCTCTACGCCAGGCAACCTAGAGAAAAACAAAGTTGTCAAGAGAGAAACGGAAACAAATTCTATAAACCTGAGTGTTTATGAACCTTTCAAAGTCAGAAAAATGGAGGATAAACTGAAGGAAAACTCTGAAAAGGTGCTTGAAAACAGGGTCCCCGAGGGCAAGCTGAGCTCGGAGAAGAATGACGCCTCCCTTGGCGGTGTGGTGCCCTCGAGGACCAAGCCATCCTCCAAGCTCTCTTCCTGCATCGCTGCAATTGCGGCTCTTAGTGCTAAAAAGGCCGCTTCGGACTCCTCTAAAGAACCAGTGACCAACTCCCGGGAGGCCTCTCCGTTACCAAAAGAAGTAAACGATAGCCCTAGAGCCATTGAAAAGTCTCCGGAATCCCAGAGTCTCATCGATGGGACGAAAAAAGCATCCCTTAAGCAGCCGGATAGTCCCAGGAGCATTTCCAGTGAGAACAGTAGCAAGGGATCGCCATCCTCTCCTGCAGGGTCAACACCAGCAATTCCCAAAGTCCGCATAAAAACCATCAAGACGTCTTCTGGGGAAATCAAGAGAACGGTGACGAGGGTGTTGCCTGAAGTCGATCTCGATGCTGGAAAAAAGCCTTCTGAGCAGACGGGGTCCATGGTGGCGTCCGTGACGTCGCTGCTGTCGTCTCCGACCTCGGCCGCCGTCCTTTCCTCCCCGCCCAGGGCGCCTCTGCAATCGGCGGTCGTTACCAACGCGGTGGCCCCCGCCGAGCTGACCCCCAAACAGGTCACCATCAAGCCTGTGGCGACTGCCTTCCTCCCGGTGTCGGCCGTGAAGACGGCCGGGTCTCAAGTCATTAATTTGAAGCTCGCCAACAACACGACGGTCAAAGCCACGGTCATATCTGCTGCTTCCGTGCAGAGCGCCAGCAGTGCCATCATTAAAGCTGCCAACGCCATCCAGCAGCAGACCGTCGTGGTGCCGGCCTCCAGCTTGGCCAATGCCAAACTCGTGCCAAAGACTGTGCACCTTGCCAACCTTAACCTTCTGCCTCAGGGCGCCCAGGCCACCTCCGAGCTCCGCCAGGTGCTCACCAAACCTCAGCAGCAAATAAAGCAGGCAATAATCAGTGCCGCGGCCTCACAGCCACCCAAGAAGGTGTCGCGGGTCCAGGTGGTGTCCTCCCTGCAGAGTTCTGTGGTGGAAGCTTTCAACAAGGTGCTGAGCAGCGTCAACCCAGTCCCAGTTTACATCCCCAACCTTAGTCCTCCTGCGAACGCGGGCATCACGTTACCGACCCGCGGCTACAAGTGCTTGGAGTGTGGGGACTCTTTCGCCCTTGAGAAGAGCCTGACCCAACACTACGACAGGCGCAGCGTGCGCATCGAAGTAACGTGCAACCACTGCACCAAGAACCTCGTTTTTTACAACAAGTGCAGTCTCCTGTCCCATGCCCGCGGGCACAAGGAGAAGGGAGTGGTGATGCAGTGTTCACACTTGATCTTGAAGCCAGTCCCAGCAGATCAGATGATTGTTTCTCCATCAAGCAATACTCCTGCTTCATCTTCCGCCCTCCCGAGCTCCTCGGGAGCCGGCACACACACTGTAACAAAAATTCAGTCTGGCATAACCGGGACAGTCATATCAGCCCCTTCCAGCACACCCATCATTCCAGCTATGCCTCTGGATGAAGACCCATCCAAGCTCTGTAGGCATAGTCTGAAATGTTTGGAGTGTAATGAAGTTTTCCAGGATGAGACGTCGCTGGCCACTCATTTCCAGCAGGCTGCAGATACAAGTGGACAAGTAGAGTATCATTTACATTTTGGTATTTCGGTGATGAGTCTGTAGACATGAGTGCTCTATACCGTGCCCGTGGATTTTAGGGGCGGGAGCTCAGTTAAATGGGGGGATGTGTGTGTCTATTTGTGTACACACTCACATGTGAGAGAGGATTGTTTGCATAAAGCAGTGTTGAAATATGAATCTTATTTAAAAATCAGTGTTTTTGAAGATGACTGTTTTAGACAGAAGCTGTGTACTAGTTGGGTCATGGCACCTTAGATGTGGGGTAAGTAAAGGAGTTCTTAATTGTTGGGTGATTGGAATTTACGTTGGAAGTCTGAGCTCTAGCGAGTGATAGTATAGACCCTTTGGATTAAGTGTTCAAGTCAGGCTACGTCACCAGCGTTCCTGAGTCACTTATTAGCGACCGTTGTGGGATTTAAAAATTTCCTGTTGTTGTTTATAATTATTGTCTTTTACAGTTAAACACACCCAGTTGATACCCACTTTTCAGGCATGCCTGCTTACTTAAGGTGTTGGTCTGGTATATTCAGTAATATTCTCCACTGCAGTGAATTTAACCTTCTAACGGAAAACCCATCCATTTAAATAGAATACCTTTGAGTTTGTTTGTGGCATTTTTTTTTTTTTTCTTTTCTTTTTTGGGCTACGTTGGTTCTTCGTTGCGGTGGCTTCCTCTCGTTGCGGAGCACGGGCCCTAGAGTGTGCGGGCTTCAGTAGTTGCGGTGCGTGGGCTCAGTAGTTGTGGCGCATGGGCTCTAGGGCGCAGGCTCAGTAGTGGTGGCGCATGGGCTTAGTTGCTCTGTGGCATGTGGGATCTTCCCGAACCAGGGATTGAACCCCTGTCCCCTGCCTTGGCAGGTGGATTCTTAACCACTGTGCCACCAGGGAAATCCCTTGTTTGTGGCATTTTTGGTTTGTTTTTTTGTGGTGAAGTGTAGGTTGGTGTTGGTGAGATGTATTTCACAGTGCGCGTCAGTCGGCGGTTTTATCTCTACCATTTGCTTCTCTCCATGAGGCAACTTCTGGGCAGTAGATAAATGTGTTTTACAGATATATGGAAGTAACTGGGCATGTTGAGTGAAACTAATTCAAGCTAGAGAGACCTTATGACTTATTGTGCAAACCAGGAAACGTGTGATATTGGAAGGGGCGCTGGTTTGAGCTGATATATACCCTGGCTCAAACTTCTGTTTTGGAAGCCCCAGTGGTAAACTGATCTTTCCCTTACTTGCCTCCGCTGTCTTGTGACGAGGAGCTTTATGCTGTGGTTCAGACGTCTGGTACTGTCACTGTGATCAGCTCCCCAAGGGCAACTGCTGAGTCAAGTTCTTTGTAGGATTTAAGTTTGGGGAACAAAAGATCAAGAATACCTCAGTGACTTTTCCTGTGGACATTCAGTTGAGTGGAAATGGAGGCGATAAAGAGTTTCGAGAACATTCTTGCATCGAGAACGTTGGATGTTACATGTTTCATTGGCTCTGACGGTAAAGCGCTCAAGTGGTTAAGCTGGTTCAAGAAGAAGTGATTGTTGCAGCCCCCCAAGCGCGTCCTGGTGACAGGGCTTGGGTTCTTTCTGGGTTCCTCTTACCTGGTCACCGCTTCATCAAAGGGGCAGTCTTTCCTTCTGTCTTAAAAGGATGCAGTTAAAAAAAAAAAAAAAAAGAAAAAGCCGTTTCCGTAGTTCTCTCTGTTCTGTTGGTATTTTGTGCAGGTGGTGGAGTATGTCCCGGCTCACGTGTGCTGGTCCGTATTGGCATGTGGAGCTGCCTTGAGAGATGTCTGTTCCCTTGGGGACCTTTTCTTCCCTGTTTTCCCCTCGTTTTTGTTCTCTGTTAACCATTTAGGCTCATCCGCTGAACCGGGGTCAAATAGGGAAGCGCTTTCCCTCAGGGAAAGAGATTGACGTCTCTTCTTGTGTGGGTGGTTGCTTTGCCTTGACTCTTTGTATTTTGCTGGGACAGGTGTGTAGCGCAGCTCCCCCGTTTCCCCTGGAGCACTGAGGGATGAGTCAGGGCAGAATATATGTTAACTCCAGGGCCAGGTAATACTAGGCCGGACAGTCACCCTGTTCTGGTTCCTTCCTCTGACTCTGCCGAGCTAGGGTCCACTCAGCCCACCAGAGAAGAGCATTTCTGTCGAGTGAGCTTCAGCTGCCGCCTGAGCCAGCCACCGCCTGGCTGGCAGCGCCAGCACACCCCGAGGCACGTCTCCCGCTCCTAGTGCCCCTGCTTTCACCCAAACGCTGCCCTTCACCACGGTATCCCCTCCACAACTTGCCACTCTTCTCAGGCTCTGCCGGGGGCTCTGCGCACCCAGGGGCAGCCTGGTCTGGTCTGTCACCCGGCCGCCCAGCCTGCGCCCCTGGGTGCGGAGCGGCTGCCCCTTCTTCAGCCTCCTTAACACCTTCCTCGAGTCTCTCCTGCAGCCCAGGAGGCCAGTGGCATCCGTGCAGCTCCTGCTGTCCTAGCCTCAAGTGTAGTGGGAGCTCGGGTGGCCCCCACCTGTGGTTGGCCCCTGGCGCGGCATCAGGTACCCATGGCGATGGGAGGCTGGGGCTGAAGACAGGAAGGACGGGAGAGAAAAGAGAAAAATTCTTCATTTCGTCTTCTCCAGTTTGCTATTCACACGACCGCTGGCCGGTTTACAGTTTGTGAACTTAAATTTAAGTGTGGGGGAAAAAGTCCACCTGTATAAACTGTTTCCTCTCTGACGAGGGCACTTACAACACATAGTTCAACTTCTCAATTTTGTAAGAAGATCTAAGGGCACCTCAAGCACCAGTCTTTGCCTGAGTGCCTTCTTTCTGTCTTGCTTTCCGTTTCTCCGTTGGCCTCCCCGTTCCTGGTGACTCGTGCGTGAACTTGAGCCGGAGCAGGCTGCCTCACTGCCCGGGGGTGGGGACCGTTACAGGGTCAGCCGCGGGCCTGCAGCTGCCCGTTTTCTCTTCTGGCTCTTCTCAGGTCTGCCCAGGCCGGGCTTCCCTACGTCTGCACATAGGCTTAGAGTCATGTACAACAGCTTCCTGTACTGACCCCAGCTAGCGTTGATTCTGGAGGTTAAAGGGTGTGACCTCAGGGCCCTGGCAAGACTAACAGGCCCCCGGGCCCTTGCTCCGTGCCTTTCCACGTGTGAGTTTACCAGACCTAGAGAAAGGTGTGCCGGTTCACTGACAGCGGGGATATTCCTTCCTCCTTCCCTTCCTGCCTCCCATCAGGGATTTTCCTATTCCTCCCTTCCTTTCTCCTGCCCACCTTCTACTTATAATTGCCAAGGTAGTTAAAAAATTTTATGTGATAATGCCGAAAGTATTCCGTGCTAATTAACACCTTGAGTCTTCTCAGATCATCCCATTTTCAAATTAAACTTTTTATTTTGAGGTAATTGTAGATTATGGTAGGAAATAATACAGAGGTATCCTGTGTACCCTTTACCCAGTTTCCCCCAATGGTAACATCTTGCAAAACTATTAAACTGTATCATATCCAGGCTGTTGGCACTGATGCTGTCAACACGTAGAGCCCTTCCACGACCATAAGAGTCCCTCATATTGCCTTTTTAGAGCCCCAGTCACCTCCCTCCCACCCCTGCCTCCCTCTTAACCCCTAGGAGCCACTAATCTCTTCTCCTTTCTATAATCTTGTCATTTCAGGAATGTTATATAAATGGAGTCATACCGTATGTAGCCTTTGAGACTGGCTTTTTTCCACTCAGCGTAATTCCCTGGAGATTCATCCAGGTTGTTGGATGTATCACTAGTTTGTTCCCAGTTTGGGGCTATTATGAATAAAGCTGCCACAAACATTTGTCTGCAGGTTTTTGTGGGAACGTAAGTTTTCCTTTCTCGGGGGTAAATCCTTTTGTGTGCTGGGTTGTGTGGTAGTTGCATATTTATATTCACAAGAAATTCTTTTCCACAGCGGCTGTACAATTTTGAATCTCAAGAGCAGTGTATTAGTGGTCTAGTTTCTCCACATCGTCACCGACATTTGGTGGTGGCATCATTTCGTATTTTAGCCATCCGGATAGGTGTGTAGTGATATCTTGTGGTTTTAATTTGTGTTTCCTCCATAGCTAATAATGTTGAATACCTTTTTGTGTTTATTTGCCATCTGCCTATCCTTTTTGGTGAAATGTCTCTTCTTCTGTCCATTTTCTAATTCGTTTTTTGGTTTGTTTTTACTGTTGAGTGTTAAGCGTTCTTGATACATTTTAGATACTGGTCCTGTGTCGGTATGTGTTTGCAAGTCTTTTCTCCCAGTCTGTGGCTTGTCTTTTCATCTTATGAGGTCTTTGGCAGAATAAATGTTTTTAATTTTGATGAAGTCCCATTTATCAGTTTTCTCTGTTACGGCCTGTGCTTTTGGTGTCAGGTCTAAGTTCGCTTTGCTGTAGATCCTGAGAACCTTCTTTTATGTTTTTTTTCTAAAAGAAGTTTAGTGTTATGATTTGCGTTTAAGTCTGTGGTCCGTTTTGGGTTAGTTTTGTATAATGTGTGAGACTTGGATGGAGATTTCTTTTGCCCCACGCATGTCCTTTTTCTCCAGTACCACTTGTCGAGAAGGCTGCCTTCCTCCACTGAATTGCCTTTGCAGTTTGTCAGACGTCAGCTGGCATATTTGTGGAGCCATTTCTGGGACTCTGGTGGACTGACTCCTCCAACTTTATTCTTTCCTCTCAAAATCGTTTTGTAGCTATTCTGGTTATTTTGCCTTTACATATATATTTTAGAAGAGTCTTGTCTATAATCTACCAAAAAATTCTTGTTGGGATTTTGATAGGAATTATGTTAAACCTGTATATCAATTTGGGGGGGAAGTCTTTTCTTTATTATGTTGAGTCTTTCAGTCTATGAACAAAGAATGTCTCTCCATTTATTTCGATCTTCTTTGATTTATCATTTTGTAGTTTTTATCATACAAGCCCTATACATGTTTTGTTTGCTTGCTTTCCTTCTTTCTTTACGTTTTGTTGGTGCTTCCCCTCCCCCCTGCCCCCCT